GGCACATGCCTCTAGTCCCAGCACTTGGGAGACAGAGGCAGGTGGACCTCTATGAGTTCAAGGCCAGCTGAGGATGCAGGGAGACCCTGTTTCAAAAAGACCAAAAATTAAAAAAATAAAAATAAAAAGCAATAGATGCAGAGAGTGGTGTGATCTCAGCCCTCAAAGGCAGAACAAGGGGATTGCTACACATTCAAGGCCAGTATGGGTTACATAGCAAGACCTTGAAAAGGAAAAAAAAAAAAAAAAAGCAATGTACAGTAGGGACACACATATAGTTCCAGCTACTTGGAGGCAAGAAGATCCCTTGGACCCACGAGTTTGAGGCAAGCTTAGAAAACCTAGTGACATAGTATATCAAAACCAAACCCACAAACCCATGGAATTTTTAGGCAGACAGACTTGAGCTCAAGTTCAGGCTCTGTGTAACCTACTTGGCTATGTTACCTTGGGCTAAGAAGTAAACATGGAATCAATACTTTTACTTCTCTAACCTGTAATTGTGAAAGTTAAAAGAGGAACCATTAGTATGTATAGTTTTATATCTTACTGCAGGCTAGGACATTGTTTTTAACAAATGATAATTAAAATTGTTAATTGTAACAAGAGCACTTTGTACTTGGCTTAGAGTAGCACAGAGGAGACACTGAGTTAACTCAGCCCAGAATGTCAGCAACCTTGAATCGGTCAACTGCTGTTAGGGCTGGATCTTAAAGAATTAGAGCCAGGAATCATGGCTTATTCCTGAAATCCCAGCACTTGGGAGACTGAAGCAGGGGGTTTGCCACAATTCAAGGTCAGCCTGGGCTACAGTGAGAACCTATCTCAAAAAAAAAAATCAATCCAATCAAACAATCAATTAATCAATCAACCATCAATCAATCAATCAACCAATCAGTCAATCAATCAATCATTTAATTAAAGGATCAAATGAGAAAAACGAGTTCGGGTAGGGGGAGCAGCACAATAAAAAAGTGAGAGAATGAAATGAAATGTTATGAAATGTTCAGAGCACCAGGAACAATTTGTTGTGGCAAGAGGGTGAAGGCCCAAACACAGTGAGTGAAGAGGCTGAAAGATAAAGTGGGACCACACATAGACGACATGGTTTGAATTTCATACTACAGGTGATGATGTGTGATACCTTTCCATGAAGTTTGAACAGTACAGGTTAGTCTATATGGACTTTTCAGTTTCGGCTTGTCTGATACTTCCTTCTGATTAGAATTGGTTCTCTTTTTGGGTAGGAAAACCAGGAAAAAAAATGCACTAATTTCTTCATGATTCAAATTGGATTGTCCCTTACTGTGATTTTTCACTTTGATGACATACTTCTCAACTGTAAAGTTGCTGTCTTTCCCTTTTAAATGTTTCATAGGGAATTATATAATAACCTATGTAAACATGTACTAAGCTGTACAGAGTGATCGTGAAAACTCTTTGCTGCAGTGAGCAAGTAAGGATACATACAAAGTTCTTGCTAAAAGGGTATCCACTGACATCTTTATAGCAAACCACAATGAAAAATAACCCATATTTCTATTATTAGTGGATTTGGTTTAGTGAATTATCCATACAATAGAATATTATGCAGAAAAAAGATGTGGCAAAAGTGTATTTGGTGGCAATAAAGGAGTTCATGACATAGTAATAAAAAAAAACAAGTAACTAAACACACAGCATGGTATGTATGGTAAATTTAAAAGATATATATGTAGAGATCAGAGGACAGCTTTGTGAAGTCAGTTCTTTCACCTTTATGTACATTCTGAGGGTTGAAGTCAGGTTGTCAGGCTTTTACCCTGCTGAGCCTTTTCACCTGCCCCCGACCCCAATATTTTTGATATATACCAGAATTTATTTAGTGTTTTCCAGTGGGACCCTTCACCTGAGAAATATTTACACAACCCTAAGTACGTAGGTATATAAGATAGTATATTAGCTACTTTTCTGTTGCTGTGATAAAACATCATGACCAAGGAAACTTGTAGAAGGAAGAGTTTATTTGGCTTATGGTTCTAGATGGGTAAGAATTCAAAATGGAGGGGGAGACATGGTAGCAAGAGGGGGCCGGAGCAGAAACCCTGAGATCACATCTCCAAGCAGGCACAGGAAAGAGAGACTGGAGAACCAGCAAGGCTTAAGAACTCTCAAAGCCCACCCCCAGTGACATGCTTCCTCCAGGAAGTCCAAACATCCTAAAACATCCCCAAACAGCGCCACCAACTGGGAACAAATCGTCCAAATACTTGGACCCTATGGGAGACATTCTCATTTAAACCATCACAGATGGTATGATATTTACTGACAATAAATCATAAGGAAATTTATTAAAAAAAATTTCTTTGGGATTGCTGAGATTGCTCAGTGGGTAAAGGTACTAGTCACCAAATCTTTCAACCTGAGTTCCATCCCCAAATCCACATGGTTGAAGGCAAGCACTGATTCTTGCAAGTTTTTCTCTGACTCCAAACTTGAGTGTACACACACACACATACACACACACACACACACACACACACACACACACTAAATTAATGTAATAATTTTACTATTTTACTAAAGATAAAAACTTGCATTACCAAGAGAGATGTGTTTGTTCATTTTTACATAAAAAATTAAATCTTGGTTGAATATTTGACAATACATGGCATCAAGCATCTTTAATGTTTGCAGAGTTGATCAATATTTTGATTTTATAATTGTCATTGTTGAGGATGCTGCTTTACATAAATATGTAGCACAAAATGGCAGAAGTATATTTAGGGCCATTTCAGAAATTGTTGGAAATTCTAATACTAATCCACTGAACAATTAAAAAAATTTTATTATATATTTTTATGCGTATGAGTGTATTGTCTGCATGTATGTCATACAATTGTCAGTGGAGGTCAGAAGAGGGTGTCAGATCCCCTGGAACTGGAGTTATAGATGGCTGTTAGTCACCACATGGGAGCAAGAGCAGCCAGTGCCCTTAAACGCTCAGCCACCTTTCCAACCCCCCAGTGAACACTTTTTAAAAATAAAACGTGTGGGGTGTGGTGGCACATGCCTTTAATCCCAGCACTTGGGAGACAGAGGCAGGCAGATCTTTGTGAGTTCGAGGCCAGCCTTGTCTACATGGCGAGTTCCAGGACAGCTGGGGCTACAGGGAGACCCTTTTTTTAAAAAAAAAAAAAAAAAAAAAAAAAAAAAAAAAAAAGCCAGCAAGCCATCCCAGCAGGAATTCTTAGTTAAGCTTTCAATTCATACCGCTATTCTAACGCAATTCAATCCAAAAGATATACTAATTTGATACATACTAGAAAATGGTAGGAAAAATATGAAAAGGCTTTGCTTTTTGTAATGAAACTGTAAGAGCAAAAAACTTTGTAGAGCAAAAATATTGAAATTTCTAACCTGCAGCAGTCTCCAGACGAAATGTCAGGCAGCATTTGTTGGCTGCCTATATGATCTTGTGCTAATTAGAGGCTGCAAAGAACTCACAGGATGCCCCGGCAAGAGAGAAGGTGTTGCCTAAATCACCCATGATGCTCTTGTGATGCACTGTGTGTTTAATTTTGAATTTTGGATTCTTGTGCTTTCAGAAACTTTGTACTGTTGCCAGTTATTTGTAATCCCCTCCATTTACTGAGTCAGGTGGCACAGACATTTGATCCCAGCACCGAGGTGGAGTTCCGTGAGTTTGAGCTCAGCCTGGTCTATACAGTGAGCTCCAGGCCCGTCAGAGCTACACAGTGAAACCATGTGTAAAAAAATAAAAAAGCTGGAATATATACGTATAGAAATACATATAATATATAAACACACATATATGGCCATTGCTTTTTTCTTACACATATACATTTTTATTAGAATTTATGTAATAGTTATACAGCAAAAGTTATTAAAGGTAAAACATGAATTTTTCTGACTCATTATGTATGAAAAAATGTAACAAAATTCACAGCATGTAGTTGACATTCAGTAAATCTTTTTTTCTCTAGCCAAAGACTTAGGCAACAGGTTTACTTTGATAAGCTCTAATAGCTTTTCAACTCCAACATTGTCATGATTAAATAATCTCCTCTCAAACAATAAAAAGGAGCCCGGCTCAGTGCTTAAGAACAGCGCTGCACTTCCAGGGTTACCCTTTGGTTCTTAGTACCCCCAGCAGCTTACAACCATCCTCTACTCCAATTCCAGAGTATCCGAAGCCCTCTTCTGGCTTCCCCTGGCAGTGCATGACATGGGTGCACTTACATATACGCAGCCAAAACAGTCATACACACTAAAAAAAACTAATGAGACAATACATTGGTATTGAACTGTCTAGCAACAGTATTTGAAGTAGGGTGGTGTGTGTGAAAATGAGACACCGAAGTGGGGTGGACTTAGCTCCCACCTTGGTTCTACCGCCAGCTCTGGCTGTTTTTCCTTTTTGAGCGTGAGCACAGAGCTGGAGCTGGCCTGGCAACGTCGGGGAGGAGTGGGACTCTGAAAACGGGATTACTTTCCAAGAAGCGCCAGGAGAACCAAAGCGGAGGAACCCAGCGCCCTTTCCAACCGCTGCCCCCGAGTATGGGTTACACCCAGGGCTCAGGGCCTCACTCAGCCCGGCCGCTACCTCACACTCCGGGCAGGCAGGCGCCCAGCAAACGGAAGTCAGAGCCAAAGCTCCTCGCGGATCTCACGTGGCGCTGCCCCCACGGCTTGGCTGGGACGGCGAACAGGGCGGTGCGAGGCTGCGGGGCGTGGCGCCTGCTGCGCATGCGCGTTTAGGGGCGGAGCTGCAGGGCGGGGGCGCCTATTGGGTGAAAGCGGTAGGGGGCGTGTCCATGTTTCAGGGAAGGGTGGGCCCAAGCTTCAGGGCGGGGCGAGGCTGGGAGGCGGGGCTGGGGGAGTAACCAGGCTCCGGGGCGGGCACTAGCTGCGCGCTCGTGGTGGGGGCGTGGCGCACAGCGTGGTGGGTGGGCCCTACTTCTGCTGGTTCCCGGCCCGGCCGGAGGCTGGCGGAGCTCCTCCCCACCTCGGTCTGTGTCCCCTCCCCTCCGGCCGTTCCTCCCTCCCTACTCTTCTTCCTCGGTGAGGCGCTCCTCCCGCGGGCAGGCAGCATGGCGGCGGTGGAGACTCGGGTGTGCGAGACCGACGGCTGCAGCAGCGAGGCGAAGCTCCAGTGTCCCACCTGCATCAAGCTGGGTATCCAGGGCTCGTACTTCTGTTCGCAGGTAGCCGCCCGCTGCGCTCCCTCCTCTCCCCTCCCGCCCTGTTCCGGGGCCGCGCTTCCTCCTCCCGACTCCCGAGACTCCGCCGTCCCGACTTCGGGCCTATGAGGGGCCCGGGCCTCGGCTGCTGGCCTCGCGGCGTTCGCGGAGGCAGGACGGGCCGCGCGAGCCGGGGCGGAAGCGGACCTGCCCGGAGTGTCCGGGCTGTACCTCAGGGCGGGTTCAGGCCGCGCATCATCTGCGGGCAACGGCGGCCAGGTGTGTGGGCAGGTAGGGACGCGCGGGAGCCCTCAGCCCGGTGTTCCTCTAAGCCTCTGTCGCGCTGGGCAGGGGCTGCGGGCCCGCGTCCGCACTCCGGTGCTTGTGCGATTCGGGACGGAAGAGTCCCGCCAGGCTTGGGGTGGGGGCGGTGGCCTCGGGACGGCCGGAGTCCTTCAAGAGTGACGCTTCAGCCTCATTTCTTTGTGTTTTACTACTATGCTTTGACATTAAAACAACTTTGTGTATGGGGATGGAGAGGGGTCCGTGTAATGTATTCTTTTGCTTTGGCACCTCAAATTATTTATTTAGAGAACCTTAAGTTAAGGGGATGAGTCACTCTGTTGCTGAATTTCCTACGAAGTGTGTAAAGGACAGTTCCCTTGAAGGTTATGCCCTGTTGTATTTTATTACGTTTTGTGCAGTGGACCAAACCCAGCATTGGATGGGGCCCACACTGAAGTGTGTGTTTACTGTACAGTATTTGTGTTCTGTTGCGTTTCGAGACCCAGAATAATGGCAAGGCAGCAATAGTTCGCCTTTAGTTACTGTTTGTTGATGAGAGGCATATAAATATTCAGGTAAGTTGGCAGGTTTCTGGGAGAAAGGAGTGATCAGGAGTCAAAAGACTTTGCTATGATCCTTTCCTTGCCAGTTCCTGTGAGATCTTGAATAAGTCAGCTTAATTTCTGAGTTCTGATTTTACCCGGTAGGACAGGATATAATTTTCCTTCTATATTTCATAAGGTTGCTCTGTGACTGAATTTAACGTATGACCTTAAAGTCGGACAAGTTAAGACCTTGTTTTTTAAAGGATTCCAGTACGGTTTAAATGCTGATTAAAAAAAGAGCCTGGTGTGGCAGCATACACCTTTAATTCCAACATTATGGAGGTAGAGGTTAACTGACCACTGTAAGTTTAAAGCTATCCTGGTCCACATGGTGAGTTCCAGGTCAGCCAGGACTACATAGTGAGACTGATGTCTGAAACAACAAAAGAGGATAGATATATGAAAACAGCAAATACAAATAAATATTTTCAAATATAAAATACATGCGAAGATAAATGTAAAATAAAATGAGAATCCTTACGATGGAAATATTTGTAGATAAACTATACCAAGAGATTTTAGCTGGTCTGCAGGTCTTGTTTTCAGATAGGATATGATCCTTGACCTTCTAGGTATCATTTAGAAAAAGTTGCACATGGAGAAGTGTTGCTTGATCTAAAAATAACATTGGGGCTATCCACATGCAAAACCTGGTGCAGATCCCTTTGGTTAACATTTTCGAATTCTGATTTGCTGAGTTCTTTGTGGGACCTGGACCCAGAAAAGGTTTTGCTATGGAAAATTGTGTGCCATTTGAGTAGGATAATGCAGGTTATATACACTGTTGAAAATTAGGTGGTGTTTTTTTTTTTTTTTTATGATATATGGGTTAATATACCAACACTTTGAAAAGCTTGAAAGGTTCAAGGATACCGTGTTGAAGCATAGGTGACATTCAGTTATTAAGAATATTGAATTGTAGTTGTGGAAAAAGATGCTTAACCAAACACAGGATTTGTTGAGTATGGTAGAATTGAGTGGACTCTGTTGGATTCTATGGGTGTGTTACTACTATTGTGGTTTCTTCTGTGGTCAAGCATATCCAGAGTCCCTCTCTTGCTGTCTTCATTCCTCTCACCTCCTAGTTTTTAACACTTGTCACTGAGTCAGTTGTAGCAGTTGGTTTTCTCCACTGTAGTTCCTCACTTTGTAAACAAACCACCTCCAAACCAACCAGACAAAATCTTTAATTGAAGTTATTTTTCCATAGTTGGAATATCCTTACACCAGTAATGGGGTTCCCATTGCTTTCAGGATTATACCCCACATTTGGGTAGCTCTCAGTCTAGTCTTATTCTCTTGCTTACAGGCTATGCTTTTACTCTCCTATCCAAAACATCATCTATTGTTGGAAATCACAGCTATTCCTTCAGCCCAGTTGAGACGTGGGTCAAGTCTCTTAACTTTTCCTAAACCCATTTTCCCAACGGTGTTGAAGCTGAGGCTTTTCCTTGCCACTGGTCCTGTTCTTTTCGGAGGAGTCTTTTGTCTTCCTCTCTCTCCTCTATACCCTAAGGATTGGCCAGCTTGTCTTTGGAAACAAACCAAACTATAAGACTCTCCTAACACTGTAGCATGTTTATAACATTATTTTAATGGCCTATAATTATTTGTTAGAAAACAGTGTCTTTCAATCAGAAGGTGAACTTTAGGAACAAACTAGCTTGTTCACTACCTTATGCTTATTTTGTAGTGTTGTACTTTGTATGCAGCAGGTGGTCACCACATTCGAATGAATGAATAGATGTCTGAAAAGGGAGACTAGAGGGCTCCCAATGTCATCCTTTACTGGCTTTGTGACTTTGGGCATGTAACTTCTCTAATTTCATTTTCTTTTCAAAAGGGGACCACTAATAGTTCTTGTCACGTGGTTTTGATGAAGATGAAGGTTGAGTATGTAAAGCACCAACCACACAAGTAAACTTTATAACATACAACAACTCATTTTATTGTTGTACTGTGTTTTGTCCTTTAAAAGGTAGGAATATTTATTTCTGAGCTGGTTTTCTGTTTTGTTTTGAGACAGGGTCTTACTCTGTGGCCCTGGTTGGCCTGAAACTCACAGAGCTCTACCTGCCTCTGCCTCTTGAGTGTTGGTATTAAAGGTGTACTCCAGGACTGGAGAGATGGCTCAGTGGTTAAGAGCACTGACTGCTCTTGAAGAGGACCTGGGTTTTATTCCCAGCCCCACATAGCATCTAACAACCGTCCATAACTCCAGTTCTAGGGGATCTGATGCCTTCTTCTGACCTATCTGGGCATTGTACGACATGGGTGCTCTTACACACATGTAGGCAATACACTCACATATAAAATAAAAATAAATAAAAAAAATTTAAAGGTGTACTCCATCATATCCAGCTCTAAGCTGTTTAATTTAAAGAAGTTATGGTCCTTTAAAAGGATGAAGACCTTAAAGATACTTAAAATCTAAATACTTAAATTTAAGTAAAAGATGCTTAAATCTAACTTTCCCAAAGTTCTGATGTCTGAGTGTTTTCTTACTATATTAATAGTTTATACAACTTGTCTTCAGTTGTAAGAGGTTTGAGGTTTGAGGATGGAGGCTGACATTTTTATTTTCTGTAGTGCCTTGTGGCACATAGTAGGCCATCAGTTCATTAAAGGTGAAAGAGAGCAGGGGTGTGGTGGCGCATGCTTTTAATCCCAGCAGAGACAGAGGCAGGTGGCAGCCTGGTCTACATAGCAAGTGTCAGGCCAGTCAGGGCTACATATTGAGACCCTGTCTCAAAAAACAAAAAGGCAACAACAAAAAAGAGGAATGTGCCTGCTATGGAAAGCAGAATTCAGCATTTACATTATTTTTTAAAGGATAAATACTGTGCTAGGCAAAGATGTCCATTAATTAATGTCATTTATTACTTATGGTTGAATTTAATTTTTCAGTTCTTTTGTTTTGCTTTTTTTTCAGGAAAAAAACATTATTATTATTATTTTTTACTTTGATCTGTTCATTACATTTTCTAGCACACACATTTAACTCATTACAGCTTACATATTGAAACAAGTAATAGCGTAGATTAAATTTGGCATTTTCTCCAAGTGGTCACAATATACAGTATCTGAAGAAAACAAATATATTTGCCTATTATTTAATGATACAATTCGTAATATATGTTGACATAAATACAATATAATCTACTATGCATGCGTGTGCGTTTTCATGTGTGTGCAAATCCAGAGTGCCACGTCATGTGTTGCTCCTCAGGCACTACCCACTTTGTGGTTTTAGATTTTTGAGACAGAGTCTCCTTGTAGCCCCAGCTGGCCTGGAACTCACTATGTAGACCAAGCTGGCCTTAAACTCACAGAGATCTCCTTGCCTCTGCCTCCTGAGTGCTGGGATTAAAAGCACGTACCACCACACCCGGCTAACTCCTTTTTTCTTACACTAAAACATTTTAATTGTGTTGTTTCAGTAGTTAAGTCCACAGAAAATTTTTGGTCAAGTTAGTCACTTTTCTCATCTAGTTGACCATGTCGAATTAGAGCTTTACTAGGGAAAAAGGTTATTTGTCTATGGGTAAGACCATCTGCCTTCTCTGCTTCTACTTTGTTCCACCTATTGTTTCATTTTAATGCTACCTCAAACTTGATGTCAGCCAAATGAAATTTCTGCCTTTGAAATCCATCTGTTGAAACCCTTCTGCCACTCCACGTGTGTATTTTTTGTATATTTTTAATTGAATTTTTGTGTACTTCATATAAAACATCTTAATCACTTTTATACCTCCTCCCCATCTGCACTCTCCATACCCCTCCCTCACTGGAGTTCATGCATTCTTCTGTCATTTATAGTAAGGCCTTTTGAGTCAAATTAGTGTCCGCTGATGTCCCTCAGTGCAAGGTCATCCACTGGTGTCTAGTCAGCCTATCTAGAGTCACTCCCTTAAAGAAGATCTGTTCCCCCTCACCCAGGAGTAATTAGCTGTCAATAGTTCTTCGTCCAAGGTTGGGGCCTACTGCCCATTTCCCCAGTTCTATACTGGGTTTTTGTCTGCTTGTGTTTGCATGGGTCTTGTGCATGCTGTCACCGTTGCTTTAAGTTCATGTGATTAAAATCCTGGGAGCCTGTAAGAGTTTGTTTCCATATGGTCATGCACCTCCTCCTTT